TTGATCATTAATGATTAATGATCACTGATTTTGAACAGTAGTACTTCCAACAATGTGGTTTTCCAGAGAAATAACTTGCAAAGCCACAGATAATGCTTCCATTTACTGGCGCAGCCCACCCTTAGCAATAAGGTTGCCACGGAAACAGCAAAACTCTGATTGGGTGAGAGAGAAGGGGCGAGAATGAAAGGGAGATGGGGCAATTTACAGCAGTTTTTTGTTGAAATAAATCAACTAGAATTTGCTAAAATAGTTTTGATTTTTTTGTGCTAGGGGACAACTACAGCCTTTGCCTACAGGCCTTGAGGCTTTTTTTGGTGGTGGTTGAGGGTTTTTTTTGAATAGGACAGTAAGCTGAAGTCTGACTCAAACACCCCGTATGAAAAAAAAATCTAAGTGATGCGAGCCCAGTCTATATATTTTTTTTTTCCCTGCAGAATGTTTTGAAGTAGAAGTATATAGTCATGGCTCTTTTTAATGACACTGACAGAAAACTCGGTGCCTTTCAATATTTCGATCAGCTATGTGATGAATCTCCCTTGAAACCACAGGAGCATGTAACTGAGCTCTGTGTGCAGGTATATCAGAGACACAGAGGAAGTCAGAATAAGATGTATTAACTATGTATAAACAGAATAGCTTAAATTATTTATTAATATTTTTAAATTAAAATAGCTACATACCTTCCTGAGAAGGTTAGATAATAATGCTTTTTAGCTTGTCTTGATGTTATGTTGCTTATTTATAACTACGTCATCGGAGGGTGTCTCACATAAATAAAGCTGGATTAGGCTGATTAATACATGGATAAGAGATTTCTGGTATATATCTAGCTCGTGCAAAGAAAGCTGGTATTTTTCCTTCTCAGTTAACTAATCAAGGGAAGAAATGTCCCCACAGGATATTAGAAACCTTTGTACCATTGAAATGCTATCTTTGTATGTGAGGAATTGACCATTTGTGGTAGTAAAGATTTTGCAAGACGATTTACTAAAGCACAGAATTAACACTTGTGTCCATCATATTACAATATCAGGAACAGCACCCTTTTTGCTGATGGCTTAATGCTACATGATAGTAATGTTAATTGTGTAGGGCTTGTTGTAAAGAAGAATGTCAACTATGATAGCCTTTTGGCTACTTTTTGTGTGCTGCAATTAAAACTCATAGCAACATCTATATTTAAGTTTGTGTGACATACTCACTGTTTCTTATAACTTCTCTAACATAAATTCAGTTTGGATTTTTTTTTTTCCAAAGTCACTGTCTTTCTCATGTTCATTTTTTTAAAATTCCATATAGTCCACAAGCAATTTTACTGCCACTAGGCAGAAGCTGTAGAAATGCAAGTAGTCTTTCAGCAGAATGTTAGCACTTGTTTGTATAGAGTACCTATTTAAGCACACTGTGTTACTGGAACTAGGTATTTTTGCTGATTCTGATTACATGGTTAATATTCCTCCAAATATGGGTTGCCTAAAGACACCTTTTTTGCATTCAGGACAGTTTCATACTACAGGTCATGGAATGTAGCAGTTGTACTGCCTGCATTTCCTCTTTACAGTCATCACACCATCTTACCTGGTTTAGCTTGTGTATTGACAATGTCTTCTACCTCTGCATCTTCATCAATTTAAATGCTTTTAAAGCTCATCCTGACAATGGAAACCAAAATGTAGTTTCTCCCCTTTCTGCCCTATACTCTTGCCCCCCGGCATCTTTTTTTTCCCTACCCTTTGCTGTTAATAAATCTTACTTGCTTCTGAAAAACGATCTGCAGAGGTAGTTAAGATACAGAAGGAGAAAAGGTAGCAGCTGAGAATGAGCCCCTGAGAGCCACTTGGAGGGAGAAAAGGAGGAACAGTCACATGAGACACAGACTGCGTCAGGGTGAGAGGAGGATTGATGAGAAAACAGAACTGAAAAAACAATGGAGAAAAAAATCCAAAGATGGTTAGAGATGCCAAACTTACCAGTAGTTCATAAGAAATTATGTACTTCATCAGAGGTAGTGTACACCCCCTCACTGTGTATGTATTGCTAGGATTATGTATTATTTTGCATTTATCAACATTGAATTTCCACCTGCCATTTTATTACTGAGTCAACAATGAATTCATTGTTCCACAGCCATTTGTTACTCATGGTGGCAGTGTCTGGCTCATATACCTGCAATAAGGAAATAAAAGGCTCATTTTCAACTCGGATCCACTTTACTAGCTGACCTAGCATACGTGCAGATAGAGAGATTAGCGAGAAATGGTGGTTTGAATGTCTTGCTGTCAGTAGTGCTATGATAATAGTAGTAACAAGCTTGTTTAAGGCTAGCATGGTATTATCAGTGTGCAAGCTACAGGCGTGTTGTTAGAAATGCCAAAGACATTATAATTCTCTGGCAATAGCTAGAATTAACTAGATCCTAATTTTAATTGCAGTTTATGCCTATTACAAGGTCTCCTAATTTCATTAATTATTTCCTGGAGTTAGATTTGAACCTTCTGACTCTAGGGCAAAATTATCTACCTTTTCTAGTCCCAAGAACTATAAATGGCAAGGTTTTAAAATGTTCAGTTCTTCTAATTTACGGCCAGGTTTGTAAAGGAGACCAGTTCCCAATCAGATGCTGAAATGAGCACGAGATTTCAAGCACGGGGTGATCCAGTGGCTACTCCTCCTCTGCAACATCTAATGTCAGATTTCCAGGAGAGCTCAACATCCATCAGATGTCTTAATAGCGTTTCTCTGTCCAGTGAAGCAGTGTTAGAAATTAGTCCTTCTGGTGCTCTGGGAAGCTTTTATCCCTCTAGCTTTCCCTCTGCCTCTCTTTCATTTCACTGATGTTCATACTGTTTTTAAATATCTACTCTGCTAATAGGCTAAATAAGTATATGCATGTTTTTTTCAAGCAGGTTGGTTTTGTCTTGTTTTTTTTTTGTTTGTTTGTTTGTTTGGGGTTTGGGGGTTTTTGTTTTTGTTTTTGTTTTTTAATCAGGGATTTCGGAAGGCAAACCTGTAAAATCTGTGAATCTGCCGGTGCACATAGAGAGCAATCGAACATCAAACAAAATGTGCACATTCATGTTCCCATCCTGGATGTAAATGAACCGGTGGAATGAACACGTCGGGGAGAAACCCAGATCTGACTCCCCGATTTTCCTCACCCGCCACCCCTGTGGACACCCCATTCATTTCTGCGGCAGCACCCTCTCTCCCACAGGGGATTTGCGACCCACCCTCGTCTGCTCAGACACCGGCTTAATTTTCTGGTGTTGCTGCAAAAAAGGTGCCGCCTGCGCTTGAAATGGGATCTTCCACTATTTAGCAAGGCTTTGCTGAATGAGTCATCAGAGCCGGCTGGTATTGGCTGGGCTGGTGAGCACCCAAGGGATTGCCTGGCAGAGGCTGCGAGGCCTCGCTTCATTCACAGAAATGTGGGGATGCTAGCCAGCCCTTTCATTCACACGCACAGAATCTCATTCACGTTTTGCAGTTTCGCTAGCCGCTTCTAATGAAGAGAGCCATTTGGGAGCAGTTGGGTTTTCTGGGCAGTAGAGACATGTAAAAATAGGCTATGGTGTGTATATTTGCTGATGCTATACTAGGAGGATGAAGAGAGGAATGAATGCTGTGTGGATGCTGTAGCAGGTTCGCAGTGTGGTGATGAAAGGCTATTCTGCAGATCACTAGACACCTGCTTTTACACTGACTAGGACATTGCCATTACTCATCACTGCTGGGATAAGAGGTGCTGACTTAATTTAATGTGTCATGAATATGCTAATTAAATGCCTGTATTTGAGCTGGTCGTTTCACCGTATTTGTACTTGTATACTGCAGCCTTTAGTCATGGGAGAGGGAAGGGATTCCGTAGGGTTTTCCCTTTAAATTGTGCTGCAGTTAGTAATTTGTTTAAAAAAATATCTTTGCACTATGCAACTTCTCTGGTCTGAATTTGTTTATAATGCAGCATATTGTCCTACATCCAAAAGACGTTTTACAAAGAAGATCAATTTATAGAAAAGAGCCATATGGCTTGTGATGGGCATTGTGTATCACAATGATGACCATGCTTTGTATTTTTGAAAAAAAAAAAAAATGTAAGAGAAATGAAATACTAGTTTTCTGCATGTTTTGCTACTTCTCAGAACAGGTGTCTGTGGCTGGAATTTATGCTTAATAAGATCTGCTGCATTTTTTTTTATTTTTCACTGCAGGATATCAGTTTGCTGCTACCTGGACTTTTGAATATTCTTTTAGTCTTTTTCAGTTTTTCAGAATTAAACCAAACATTCCAGTGAATTGAAGATCCTCTTCATGTTTCTCTTCGGAGTGAGTATCAGTGGTGAAAGAAAAAAACATCTGTTAAGCCTGGTGTTGGACATCAGAAAAATACTTTTCTTCACACATAGGTACTAATGTAATTCCTGCGTTAAAATAGAAGGTTGTTGTGTGACAGGGGAGGATTTATCAAAAATCAGATGTAACAGTTTCCATGAGAGACAGCATTAACACAAAGACACTTGTAAAGTCTGTTAGACTGCTTTTGTGGAAGAAAATGTGTATATTCTTTAGTCCTGTCATCTGTTCTAAAAACCTTTAAGGTGTCTGTATCTTGCTGGGGAGGAGGGGGCATATATCTGTAAATATCATCCAGATATTTGCTATCTAATTGTGACTTCTTTATAGATTCACAAATATGTGAGGTGGAAGAACATTTAAACAGAAGAATAAAGTGTGGTGTTTCATAAAGGCTGTTAATTCAGTTTTAGAGGTAATTGCCTTTGGTACCAAAAGGGTGGGTGGGGGGGGGAGGAATTAAAGGTTGGAAGGAAATATCTGTTTGAGAAGATAGGAAAAGGAAATTTGAGAATTGATTGGTGCTAGTGTGCTGTAAGTGGGTGGATGTTTTTTTTTTTCTTTTTTTCTTTTTTTTTTTTTTTTTTTTTTTTTTTTGCTACAGGAAGTGATTTGCAGTGTTCACTGAGCCTTTTGTTGAAAAGGGTCCTTCTCATTTGTGTGAGTCATGCTTTTGCTGTGAGCGAGTTGGCAGCTCTAAGCAGGACTGGGATCTCTGTCACAGAAAACTGTTACTTCACCCAACCTTAACGGGGAACCATAAGAAATTTCTTAAAAATACAGATTTTTTTGTTCTTCCTTGTACTATTTTCTTTTTTACCCCAAAATCTTGTTATCCATCCGTGTTGTTATGAATCGCCTGCTATGTTAGCACAGGCACCTCCTGCGTTGGCATCAGATTTGCCAGAACATATGCAGGAAACCAGATAGAAGGGCATGCTTCAACGTACCAAGTATAACCGCTTCAGGAATGATTCAGTGACATCAGTTGATGATCTTATTCACAATTTGTCCATGAACAGCAAGGTCTCAGCAGTTGCTACGACTTCAACAGCACCTTCGTACCTGGTCTCGCCAGGGGTTCTCCGCAAGGACCAGGAAGATGGACCCACCACCCTGTGTACCCTTATCCATAAAGTGTCCCACTTGAAACTCTCTAACACAGGCAGCCTTTTGGGTATCAAAAACCTCTCCTCTGCAGTAAAGGAGCTTGCTGTCTCCAAGTTGCAGGGAAGCTCGAGTGCTTCTAGCTCAGCAGCAGGGGCTTCAGACAACACACGTAACCTTGTCTCTGCCACTTCGTGTTCTCAGCAGGACGTGAGCAAGATGAGCATGGGGAAAAAAACACGGTCAGAGGAAATGCACCCGGGAGGTGAAGACTGGAATCGAAGTAGCAGCTTTGTCAATAAACCCTCTCGAGGATGGCTGCACTCGAGTGAGAAGATCCTGGGACCTGGTGTGACGTACATTGTGAAGGTTGGTCTGATTTCTTCCATTCTCTCTTTTCATCAATGAAAAATTCTCTGCTGGTTTTGATGACAGGCTAGACAGGCTGAAAGGATCTCTATTTGTATACTCCTTTTTTTGTGCATAATGCATGGTATGTAAATGCAGGAAGGCAGGGTTGGGAAGCTGTGTTAATTTGTTAAATTGGAGCAAACCTGCAAATAGGTTCTTTGTCAGATAATGTTCTACAGCTGTGTAAAAATACTGTTCCTGAGCTAAAAGCTGATTTTCTTACTTTATGCTTTGGGCATTTTTTCCTTCTGCTGAATTTAGGTTTTCAGTGTTCTCTAGCATACTGTATATATCTTGGATACATAGGCTTTCAATATGTCTGGTGCAATATACAGGAGGAAAGAAAGACTCCTTGTGTGAAGAACTGTTAATCTTGCATGATATTTCAGTTTGAAAATACCTCTAAGGACCTGTGTGTTTTTAAAGTGAAATTATGTTTGAAATCTTAGAGCAGTAAGGCACAGAGCGCAATTCTTACCACGTTCCACAAATAGAAATACTGTTGTGGGTAGAGCAGGAAAATGCAGCTTGTTTTACATAATGAGAATTCAGCCACCTTAAATGTTATTGCTCTTTTCAGTTCATTAATACAGCATGTCAAGAGCAGAGAATCATAAGTTTACAGGGTAATACTTCCATATGCTTTGAAAATATTTTGAAATGACATGTTAAAGTGGAGCCTTTGAAAGAATGGTATGTGCAATGTTTTTGTAGTCAGGTAAGATTCTGATTACACCTTCCAGCACAGTGTGCAGAAGTGTAAAAATAACATTGTTGTCCAGAATTCATTCTTCAGTCACCAAGTTTTATTTGCCAAGTGGCTTTTTTATCTTAAGTGTTAAACTGTTTTGTATCAGACTGTTAATAAGATTACAGGTCTATTTTTAATCTCATTTTATTTTGGGTTTAAAAGTCACAGTGTGACTTTATATTAGGATGCTTTAAAACTCAGTGACAGCCTTATTGCTTAACTCTCACCGTTTTTTCTCAAGTCTCATCATCAAAAGCAGAGTGCATATTTAACAGTTGGAGCACTAGAAAGCAGTTTTCATTTCTTTCTGTTACTGGGGCTGGTAGATTTTGCAAGTGATGGTAGGTTCAGTAACTTGGACAATTCAGAACACTATTGAAACTGTACTGTCTTTTTTACTACTCTGAAATTTACTGGATCTACAGAAGAGTGCTGCCTTTCAGAACGCAAACTGATGCTCTGTTACTGTTCAAGAGGTGTCTTGATAAAAATAACCCCCTGATGCTAGATATAGTGGTGTTGAGACACTGTCGCACTTTTGCATGGAAGTATTCTGGTTAATGGCAGGTCATTTACCATTTTCTCATTAGCTTAGGGAACTCAACTATTTTATTTTTTATTTTGCTTAGGAATGTAAGTAAGCAGATAATGACTGTGAGAATTCACTGCTGCTGTTGTTTTACATTAAGTTATCATTATGAAGCAGAACAAACACAGTATTCATTTTCTTAAGTTTTGCAGTGATTGACCTTCTGTATGCTAGAGGAAGCTACTATCTTTGAATTGAAAGGAGAAAATTATGTACCAGTGGATTTACATTTAAGGTTAATAATTAACCCATATCTAACAGGGATAGAACAAATATTTTAATTAATGCAGCTGGTGTCAAATACATGAAAGTGTATTTATACACATTATGTATATTAGTTTTTTCAAAATAAATCATTAGCACCATACAACTTACATTATAGGTGTTTGTTAAAAGTCATTAAAATGTATGGAATCTAGATTATTGTTTCTATTAAAAACAGGGTGATATCTTTAACTTCATGTTCTCTGGCATATAGGATCACAGAATATAGCTCTAAAATATGGAAACAAAAGTTAAAAATAAATATAAAAATCAGTGGTTAATGAATGAATGAAAATAAACTGCTTCTGGTTAGTTCATAATTTGCCTGTTCATTAAGTATCTCAGGATTTTCCTCAGCAACTGCAGCATTCATATAGATAAGAATAGAAGTGCAGTTCCCACATCATTAAACATTGTTAGTTCCCCCGGCTTTTATGCATTCAGACCATCAAATCAATACATAGATAATGTACACTGAAGGGGAACATCCCTTGGATACCTCATGGCTATATTGACTATCTGGGGGACTCATACCATGTTTAATTAATACCATATGCCTTGCAGAAAGTTCCATATGCCATTAGTTAAATGAGACAAAAATTAGATTTGTTATTAACCAGAAAGGCTTTTATCTTTTTGTGTGCAAATGTGCACTGGGTTACTATTTTCTCATTAACCCACATTCAAAACATGAAAATTATCTATGAGACGGGGTAAATTGTAACTACAGGGTAGTTTGATAACTAACACTGCAACCTTCTGAAGTAAGAGACACAAAGTTCCTATGTGAAATGGATGACAAATCTGTAACTTCACTGCTGTCCCCACATTTTCACATTACCCATTTTTTAAATGGGCAGTGTAACTCTAATGCTTAATAATGGGTGTAGGATTATGGTAAACAGGAACTGTGTTATGATCTTCATGGTCTGCTGTGGTAGTATTATTTTCAGCTATAAAAGTACTGGCACTTTCTGTATTATTTTTTTCCTCCCTGTGGACTTCACATTGCATTTTTATGTATTAATTGAATGGGAAAATTTCCACAAAAATAGGAAGAATATTTTTGTAACAGATTAGGCAATGACCGTAGCCGTATTAGGGGACATAAAGTGGTGACATACTGATATTTTACTTAAAACTACCACTGAACAGTTTAACAAATTACGGATTAATGAAAAAAATGAAATAGTTTGCTGTGATGGAAGTCATTGAAGAGCTCAGTGTTTTCCCCATGGAGGGACTGATTACTATAGGTAGTGGTTATAAATGTTCATGTTGTCAGAAAAAGAAGTACCTATAATAAAAAAGTGTAAAACTATGTAATGTAAAAGTAATTAAATGTTTCAATGAAATCTGTTTGTTTCCAATGATAAATGTCTACTGATGAGTTTAATTGGGTAATGACATAGATGTTTTGTGTTTTGTTACATTTAATTAAGAGCACAATCAACAGTCAAGAGGTAAATGTATTTAGGTAACTCGTGGTTGGGTTTCATAACAAGTGTTGATGAGCTTAGACTGCTGTTTCTCTAAACCAAATAAACTGAAAATACTATAGCATAATTTTATATCCCTATATACATTATATCCAAAAGAGCAAATGAGCTGTAAAACCATGACAGTGGTGTAGAAGAGACCTGGGTAAATCTAGTATTAAAAAACAGATATAAAGATAGTATCTGAGAGTCAAGAAGGAAAAATAAATTAATCTTAAATAAGCATTGTAAGCCAGGCAAATAATGTTTCAGTGAAAAGCATTAAATTATTAATATTACAGCAAAATATCTAAAGAGGATAATCCTAAATAAAAGTATTTATTTATTGACACTTATATCTATTTTGACACTTGCATGTCTTGGGAGGGGATAACAGTGATTTACATCTGGTGAGGAAAACAGACATCTTTTGTTAGGCTGTTCAAACACATCACCAAGTAAATGCTTCGGTTCTGCAAACACTTCTGCATGATACTGTTTATGGGATCATTGTCATTGAAGTAATTGAGGCTACTTCTATATGCTGAAAGTTAAGTAAATGCTTAAGGATGAACTGAATTGCTGTGTTGCATGCTCTTATTGCATCCTTTTATTCTGTACAATAGTATTCCCTTCACTGTATATGCAGGGCAGCTGTGATTTTAGCAGATCTCTGCAAGTAGACACAGAATTTACAAAATTACTTTTCTCTTTAGTGGCTAACCCAGACTGCAAAGCACAGCCGTAAATGGAAATAACATGGTAAAAACTTCAACATTTGTGGCCTTACCCTAGAAGACTTCAGGGCTCCTTGGGTCAATGCTTCCTTTTTTTATTTCTGCTTTAACCAGAATTGATTTGCTGCTGGTTTAAAGTAGGAGTGAGATACTAATGCTTTGTGCCTCTGTGGTGGTACTCTTTGCTCACCTGTTTGAAGGGTATCCAGCATAGCCTGTAAGAAAAAAAAAAAAAAAAAAAAAAAAAAGAGGGTGTCTTGCTTCCTTCTTAGTCCTTTAAATAGACATAAAGTCAAATTTACTTTTTTTTTTTTTTTTTTTTTAAATTAACATTAGAGCAAGACTTTTTAGTTTCTCTTTTTGGTTGACGTTAAATTTATCTTCATTATAGAAAAATTTGTGCAAGGTCTTTTTGTTTGGTTGGTTGGGTTTTTCTAATCAGATTTAAATTCTGCTTCTTTCAGTGTTGCAGTAGCATTAATGGTTAATCACTGATAGTTTGACATGGCCTGACTAAAAACATACTCAGTGGGATTTTGTGCATGTGATTCTAATCATAAGAAACACGGTCCCCAAGCACCCTGTTTGTAATCAGGTTTACACGTTTAAGAAGTAGGCTGTGTGTTTCAGCTGTATGGTGATAATAGAACCTAATACTGATCCTTTATTTTAGCGTCTGCTATCCTCAACCCAGGTACTGAAACAGTATTAGACAGAGCTCAGAGATTTATGAAACTGGCTTTTCACTGTGGATTTTTAAGTTGTATGCATGCAGGCTAGAGGAGAGAGAAGTCAAGTGACAAAGACAGCACTGGTTTTAGCAATGAATCCCTCCTAGTATGCCATATTCCTTTGCAATCAGTGAGTATACTTCACATTTTCTTTCACTGTTATTTGGGCTATGAAAGAATCATATTGATGTCTGTTGCTTTGTCAAAAACCTATTTTTTGAGCTCCATGGATCTGAAACACTGTGGGTCTGTTGTACAGCCCACTCGTATGAAAAGATCATTTCTCAGAGAAATTAAATCAGATCCTATAAGCAGAAATCATACAGTAGAGTCTTTAATTATAATATTATTCTAATTATGTGACTCAGGTACTATTACTGTACATCTGCACACCTTTCATAGAAAACA